CCCGGGCAGGCCCCTGAGCGAGCCGCCCTCTGCCAGCGCCAGCAGCACCTTCCCAAGGATGCATCACGCGCAGCAGCCCTACGACTCCTGCGACGAATGCATGGCGACCGCCCACCCTGCCAGCAAGATCAACCGCCTGCCCCCCACGCTGCTGGACCAGTTCGAGAAGCAGCTGCCGCTGCACCACGACGGCTTCCACACACTGCAGTACCCCCGGGCTGGCGGCGCCGAGCCCCGAAGTGAGAGCCCCAGCCGCATCCGCCACCTCGTCCACTCCGTCCAGAAGCTCTTTGCCAAGTCCCACTCCTTGGAGGCGCCGGCCAAGCGGGACTACAACGGTGCCAAGATGGACGGCCGCGGGGACGGCTACCACCACCACCACCACCACCACCACCATCACCACCACCACCACCAGTCCCGCCATGGCAAGCGTAGCAAGAGCAAGGACCGTAAGGTGGACTCCCGGCACCGGTCCAAGATGTTGGGCTGGTGGAGCTCCGACGACAACCTGGACAGCGACAGCAGCTACATGGTGTCCGGCCGGAACGCCACCGACCAGGGCACCCAGTACTGCGTGGACGCTCCTGAAAGTGCCTTCAGAGACTTGACCTTGAAGAGTCTAAAGGGCGGTGGAGAAGGAAAATGCCTGGCCTGTGCCGGCATGTCCATGTCTCTGGATGGCCAGACGCTCAAGAGGAGTGCCTGGCATACCATGACCGTCAGCCAGGCCCGTGAAGCCTATCCCAGCGCTGGTGGCACCGAGAAGACCTTGATGCTTCAGGAAGCAAAGGCCAAAGACCGGGCGTACCAGTACCTGCAGGTGAGGGGCTGGGCAGGGTGAGGCTGACTGTGCTGTGGGGCAAGCCAGTGCTCAGAACCTCCATCCAGCAGCCTGGGGTGCTCTGGGGATGCTCCAGCTCTGCCCCATGTCCCCAGCACCTGTGCCCCATTCCCATGGTCCTGTGCCAGTCCCTGCTATCCTCTTGAAGCCCATCTGCTGCCTCCTGCCCTGTGCTGGGTTTGGGGTCAGACCTGCTCTGTCAGCTCAGGGCCAACCAGCAGCCCTGCGCTTGTTCCCTTCTCACAGCTTTTATCCTGCCTGTGTGCCTGGCTGGGTGCCACTGCCTGCCTCATCACCAGGCTCCCTTCTAGGTCACCCCCCTTCCAATTAAAAGCTAATTAACTCTTCTCTCCCTTTCCTGGGGGAAGGAGACAGGGAGCAGCAATGCTGTGCTGGCTGGGGGTGGGGGTGGCTGGGACCTGTCTCCCACTGGCAGCAGGGGCATTGGGACACGGTGCTGGCCCCACAGCACTGGCCATGGGCCCCAGGGGACACCATCCCCACTGCCCTATAAGGACCCCGTGGTGCTGGCGTCAGCAGCACGTGGTGGGACTGGTGCCCGATACGTCAGGCGGGTGCTGGCTGGCATGGGTGGGATTTGGCCCAGATGCTTCCACCAGGGGGGCCATGAGGTGGGAGCTGCTGTGCCGCTGCATGTTGTGGGAATGAGGAGCTGTGGCTGTTAGGAGGGATCTGCTCTCCTGGATTTTCGGGCTTTCCAAAGGGTCGGAGCCCCCAGGGTCTGTCCCTGCAGCTCGGGTGTGTGGGGAGGACAGGGGAGCTGGGCACACGTGCTGGATTTGTGCTGGGCTTGGTCTGGCACACGGCTCAGGTCTGTATGCCTGTGGGACCCTGGCCACCATATCCTCCCATGCTTGCCTCCTGCTCCAGGTGCCGCAGGACGAGTGGAGTGGGTACCCGGTGGGCAAGGACGGGGAGATCCCGTGCCGGCGGATGCGCAGTGGCAGCTACATCAAGGCCATGGGTGACGAGGACAGCGCCGACTCGGACATCAGCGCCAAAGTGTTGTCCAGGGCAGCCACGCGGCGAGACAGCTACCGCCGCTCCTCCAGTGCTGACCAGGCCAGGACCAAGTAAGGACTGTTGCCTCCTGGCCCCATCCCAGCACTGCAGGCAGCAGTGGGGCCATAGGCCTGGGCTCCCTGGGAGGACAAGTGGCATGTCCCTGCTCACGGCATTGTCCCCACTCACAGGACTGTCCCTGTTCACAGCACTGTCCCTGCTTGCAGCCACACTCCCCAGTACAATAGCACCAAGCCCGGTCCCTGCTCTGTGTCAGGGCACTGGGGAGGACATGGATGTGCTGGGTTTTTGCAGGGGACCCTGCTGCTGCAGCCAGGTGCAGACTGTGGGGACAAGAGGCATGTTCAAAGGGGGATGACTGAGATGGGCTCCAGTCCCTGTGGAGTTTTGGGGGCAGTGAGGAGTGGGGACAGCAGCAGTGGTCGGTGGGAGAATTTCTGCAGCTGTGTTTCCGACTGCTCTGCTGGAATGTGTTGCTTTTGGTGTGATCCCTTCTATTCCCACTGTCTCTCATTAGGTTTTCAAGTAGGCACTATTCTGATTCATATATCTGTAACTGTCCCAGCTGCTGCACACCACCACGAATGCTCCCGCGGGGACAGAGCTACGGGCGTTCCTTCACCACTGGCCAGGTACGCTCCATGGCACAGGTTTCACAGGGCAGGCTGGGGCAGGGATGTGGCGGATGTCTCTCTGAACATCCCTTGCCCTGGCTCAGCCTCAGCCACTGCTTTCCCCAGATCAACGATGAGCTCAACCACCAGTTTGAGGCCGTCTGCGAGTCGGTCTTCGGTGAGGTGGAGTCGCAGGCTGTGGAGGCGCTGGACCTGCCCGGCTGCTTCCGCATGCGGAGCCACAGCTACCTGCGGGCCATCCAGGCAGGCTGCTCCCAGGATGACGACTGTCTCTCACTCTTCTCCATGTCGGCCCCTCCTGGGCCACCCATCACCAGCAGCATCCTGAAGCCCAGCACTTGTGAGTCCTGGGGGGTGGCAAGGGCTTGGCTGCATGAGGGAACCCCACATCTCCCTGCTTGCTCACCTGGGCACCTGCCAAGGGCTGCTGCTGCCCACCTCCTGGCCCTCGACCCCTATAGTGCCAGGAACAGGGTGCGAGCATCCTGCTCATCACCCAGTCCCAATCAGGGGGCTGCTCTGTGTCCCCAGCACTCCTTTGCCATCCCCTCCTTCCCTCCACTTCTGTCTCCATCTCTGCCCCTTGCTGGGTGCTGCAGAAATGTGGCCAATGTGGGTCTGGGGTGTTTTCCAATCCCAAAAAATGGTCAAACAGCCCCTCTGAACTTTGGCCAATATCTAACCCAGCTATGGGGAAAACCCTGTGGGGCCATGATCCCTGCGCTGTGGGAGGAGAGGGGCAGTATTCCCCGGGGCCCCTGTTCGTGGCGGGAAATGAGCAAGTGTCTGTGTTTTCACGTGCCTTTCCATCCTGCGCCTCTCCCACAACAGCCTTCAGTTACAGAAAAGCTCCACCTCCCATCCCTCCAGGAACCAAAGCCAAACCTCTCATCTCCGTCACGGCGCAGAGCAGCACCGAGTCCACCCATGAGAGCTACCTGCCCAGCGAGGTCACCCGCAGCCCTGCCTGGTCCAAAGATGCCACGGCCCGCTGCAACTCAGCTGAGAGCCTGGAGAGCTCCAAGGTGACTGCTGTGGCCCTCGACCTGCCCCCGGTCCAGCCCCATGCTGCTCCCAAGCCCTCCACGCTCATCATCAAGGCCATCCCAGGTCGGGAGGAGCTGCGAAGCTTGGCTCGGCAGCGGAAGTGGCGTCCCTCCATCGGCGTCCAGGTGGGCTCCGCTCCTCCATGTGGGCTGCCCGAGTGGTGTGGGACATGCTGAGCCACCACGCTGCATTTTGGGGCTGCCCTCCAGCGCTCTCCCTCTGCCCCTTGGCAGGTTGAGGCCGTCTCTGACTCGGATACAGAGAGCCGGAGCCAGAGGGAGTTCCATTCCATTGGGGTGCAGGTGGAGGAGGACAAAAGGTACTACATGGCTGGACTGGGCTGAGATCTGCCACACTTGCTGCACTGAGGCATTGGGTTCCTGGGGGCTTCCTGAGCTCCATGCACCACCACTACTGCACAGCATCTTTTCCCTCTCTCCTCTGGCTGAAACCCCAGAGCTCAGCACCATCTCCATCCCCGGCTAGCTGCCCCCACCTGGGGCAGGATTAGGCCTTTCCTTTGTCCTTGCTGCCACCCAGGGAAAGGGCTTCCCTATTCCTGCCTTGTGCAGGGTCTCCTCTGCTGGGCTCAGCCCCTAGCTTTGAGCCCACGCCAGGTGCAGATGAACCTTTGGGCATTTCTGCAGCTAACCACGACATTTTGGCTGGAATGGGAATTCCAGGTATTCCAGAACCCGCATGGCCAGCGGGAGGGGAGCTCTGGCACTGTGCCCATGAAGCCTGGTGCAAGCTCCTTTCCATCCTCAGTCCAGTGCTGGTAGCCATGGAAACAGGCTGGGAGCAGAGATGAGGGACTGGCAGATCGCAGCTGCTCTCAGGGTTGTCCCTGTGGCCCTGAATGCTTCGGGATCCACCCCGGCATACCCAGCCCCATCCTATCTGTGGGCATCCCTCACCCTGCCCCTGCCGCCGCGGTACCTGGTAGGGGAACAGAACAATCCCTGCTGGCCGCCAGGGTCCCCACGCTCTCTCTATCTCCGCAGGCGAGCGCGTTTCAAGCGCTCCAACAGCGTGACAGCGGGCGTGCAGGCGGACCTGGAGCTCGAGGGCTTCACCGGCCTGGCTGTGGCCACCGAGGACAAAGCCCTGCAGTTCGGGCGGCCCTTCCAGCGGCACTCCTCGGAGCCCGAGTCGGGCCGGCAGTATGCCGTGTACAAGACGGTGCACACGCAGGGGCAGTGGGCGTACCGCGAGGATTACCAGCTGCAGTACGACACGGTGGAGGTGCCCCGGCGGGACGCTTGGATAGAGCGGGGCTCCCGCAGCCTCCCTGACTCTGGCCGCGCCTCCCCGTGCCACCGGGACGGGGAGTGGTTCATCAAACTGCTGCAGGCAGAGGTGGAGAAGATGGAGGGCTGGTGCCAGCAGATGGAGAGGGAAGCGGAGGACTATGACCTGCCCGAGGAGAGTGAGTCGGGTGGGGTGTCGCAGCAAAGAGAGGGGCTGGGGATTCTGCAAAGCTGGGGGGGCACAGTCATTGCCCTGCAGTCCTTCCACCTTGGAGCATCTTCCCTGCCAAGGCTAAAGAGGTTGGGTGAGGGCAAGAAACACTGGGAAACCCTCTGGGGCCAGAGGGATATGAAGGAGAAAAAAGACACGATGTGTTGGAGGGCTCTGAGCTGCTTGTGACTGTCTGCTCTCCCTCCAGTCCTGGAGAAGATTCGGAGCGCGGTGGGCAGTGCCCAGCTCCTCATGTCCCAGAAGGTGCAGCAGTTCTACCGCCTCTGCCAGCAGAACATGGTGAGTGTGGGCAGCGGTGTCAGAGGTCAGCTGTGGTGGGGAGGGGGATGTCTCATACTCTCAGCCAGTGACTGTGGACCACCATGCAGGAGAGCTGGATATGGAGCCCCCAGCACAGGGGGGTGGGATGGCACTATGGCTAGCAGAGCCAATGTCCCAGCAATGGATGATGATGACACTGTGTCCCTCTGTCCCCACAGGATCCCAACGCATTCCCTGTGCCCACTTTCCAAGATCTGGCTGGCTTCTGGGACCTCCTGCAGCTCTCCATTGAGGATGTCAGCATGAAGTTTGGGGAGCTTCAGCAGCTCAAGGCCAATGGGTGGAAGATCATGGAGCCCAAGGTAAGGGCAGGGCCCTGCCACTGGCACTTGTACTTGTCACTCTCCTCGATCCCCAAGCACATCTGCACTGAAACTACTGCTGGGCTCTCACTGGTGAGTGTTTAGTCAAGTAGCAAACCCTTGAAAAACAGAGCTGGGAAAAAGAGAGGCTAGAGAAGGGCTGTTCTCCCACTGACGTATGCCAGCTGCCTGCAAAGAGCTTGGCAGGGTCCTGGCACGGGATGGTTAAAGGGATGTGCAACCCTTGCAGCCTGTGGGAGGGTCTGTGAAGCCTCTCACCATGGCTTTGGCTTTGGCACCCGTGGCAGCAGCTGTGGTGAGCCCGTTGGAATGCCCATTCCTGGGAAGTCCCAGCCTGAAGCCCCTGTTGTCTGTGCAGGAGGAGAAGAAGGTGCCTCCCCCGATACCAAAGAAGCCGCCCCGCTCCAAGGTGCACCCGGTGAAGGAGCGCTCCCTGGACTCGGTGGACCGGCAGCGGCAGGAGGCCCGCAAGCGGCTCCTGGCAGCCAAGCGAGCCGCCTCCTTCCGCCAGAGCTCAGCCACTGAGAGCGCGGACAGCATCGAGATCTACATCCCCGAGGCGCAGACCCGGCTGTGACCGCAGCCTCCGCTTTTCTACCCGGACTGGACGGCGCGGCCGTAGCTCACTGTGATGAGGGGCCGCGGGGACACCCTGGGGCAGCTCTTGGCCCCACTCACAGCTTCTCTCTTTTCTATCTTAGCCCTTTCGTGGATCCAACGGCGGGTGAACGCAAAGCCCGGTTCTGCCCCGTCCCCTTGCCCCCCGCCCGCATGCCCCTGCCAGCCTCTCCTGGGGTCCAGGGCTCTCCCTCCCTCTGCCCTCCCTGGGGCTGTGTCCCAGCTTTCTGTCCCCTTCCCACTCCCCAGCCCTTCTGCACACCCGCCTCTGCATCCCAACCCAAAGAGAGGTGACCTTCGGCACCCAGCCCTGCTGGGCTGGAGGGGAGGGGGCTGCAGGCAGGCCCCCCCCGCCTCTCTGTACTCAGTGCAATCCCCTGGTGTGTGGTGGGGACAAGCCCCCAGCCCTGCCCAGCCACAGCCCCCAGCCCTGCCCTGCTGGCACAAGGCTTTGAGATGTGGTGGGGACAAAGGGGTCCCCCTCGCTGCTCCCTCCGCCTGCGGCTCAGGTGCCATGGGGACCCAGGGCTCCCTCCCCTGTATACATATATAAATATAACCAAGGAATAAACCAGAAACTACACGTGACCAGCGCTGTGTCCTGCCTGGAGTTCGGACCAGAGCAGCAGATGCCCCCGGTCACGGCGAGCCGCCCTGCTTCCCTCGCACGGAACATCGCCACACGCTTCTCTCCTTCCCGCTCAGCCCTCCTTCCCCTCCGTCCATCCCTCATCTGTCTGTCCTTCCCTCCTGCCAGCCTGGAGTCCAGGAGCACCTTTGCAATGTGACAGGGACAGGCCATAGTCCCGCCGTGCCTTGTTGCAGGTGGGAGATGCTTCCCCAGCGAGCCTGTTCCCACCTGCAGTGACAAGGAGCACACCTGTGCTTGGCACCAGTGGGTGGGACAGGAGTGTGAACATGGCCAGCAGCTGCTCCTTGAGTGTGGAGCTAGAGACCCCCCCCAGGGGGTCACCCTTTCCCCCGAGCTTCTGGAGCCCTGCGGGATGGGACCCCAGGATAGGGCTGTCATGTACCTGATGCCTCTCAGGGCCAAGGGACACCCTGGGGTGTGGCTGTTCCCAGCTCCCCCATCACTGTGCACAGAGCCGGGAGCAGGGTGGAGGGTCCCCTCCAGGGCAGATCAGCGTGGTGGGACAGGAGGCTGCATCTGCCTCATCCCTGTTCTTAACCCCGTTCTCCAAGCATCCTGTCAAGAAAAGTGTCACTTTTGGTGTCAGAGTGGGGAGGAGCCCACCCCCATCCCTCACTCTGCCATGCCAGCAGCCCCATGCAGCATCACCAGCCACCCTCCAGGGCAGGGCCAGTGGGTGCCAGGAAGCTCCTGAAATCCGGGGCCAAACCTTGCCCAGGCCCTCAGGCAGGGTGATGGGATCAGAGGAAGCTGGGGGACGCCTCGCTGGGGTCCCTCGCTCCTGGGGGTCCATCGGTGCTAAACACCTCCATGACGGCAGCACCCACTCAGCCACCCAAAGCCCTTCCCCACCCCACTCCCCCTGCACCCTGGATTTAGGGATGTGCCTGGGAAGGGCCCCCGGCCCCCACCCCGGCCAGCGCCGTGCAGTGACCGTGACACGTGGCTCCCTTTTTATTGTAACGAACTGTCGCAATTAATAAAGATGACTTTGGTTACTCCCGGCCAGCGGCCAGTTCCCTGCGGGGACATGGCTGGCACCGGGCTCGCCTTTCACCTGTCTCCCATCTTTTTGTATCCATGGGGTGGGAATGCATGTCTGTGGTGTGGGAAATCGGTGACTGTGGGGTGGGAGAGGGGCTTGCAGATCCCCCATGGAGATCTCCTCATGGGTCTCTTCCAGTGGGGTCTCTGCTTCTGAGTCTCTCCCCAAGGATCTCCTCCTGTGGGTGTCTCGTTGTGGATCTCTCCCCGTGACTCCCCCTGTGACTCCCAGCGTGAGTCTCCCCCTGTGACACTCCCTGTGACACCCCCGTGGGTGTCTCTCTGTGACACTCCTCGTGACTCCCGCATGACGTCTCCCCGTGGCTCTCCCCACCAAGACACCCCCCCTGTGACTCTTGCATGTCTCTGAATCGTCCCTGGCTTCTCCCCTGGGACTCCTCCTGTGACTCTCCCTGTGTGCCTTCTAGTGGGTGACACTCCGTGACTCTGGCCGGGGGTCTCGCCCTCTGGGTGTCTCTCCGTGGCTCCCCCCGTGACTCTTCCGGGGGTGTCTCCCACCTCTCCGTAACACCACTGTGGGTGTCTCTCTGTCACCTCCCCCGGCTTCTCCCGCGTGGCTCCTTCCGTGGCACCCCCTTGTCCCCCGCATGACTCCCCTCCGTGTTCCCCCGTGCATTCCCTGTCTCCCCTGATGACTCCCCATCGTGCCCCCTCCATGTTCCTCCCCGTGTGCCCCATGACTCTGCTCGCGTCCCCCCATGTCCCCCGTGACTCCTCTCA